AACTAGCATGACTTAACTTGCTCCTGTTCACCAGCAGCAGCCCCCCTAAGACAGCCAGTGTGATGTAGCAGTTAGTGCTTCAGAGCAGGGACTGGCAGACCCAGGTTCTTACTATGGAAGCTGATTGTGTGATTTCAGACCACTCACAGACTTTCAGCCTAACCTACCTCACAGGGTTGTTCTGCAGATCTAAAGGGGGAGAAGAGAATGATGTGAGCTGCTTTTGTCCCCACTGCAGAGAAAGACTGTACATTTCCTAGGTAGAAGCTGCTGGAAGGGGGGGAGGAGATGGAAACCTGAAGTCAGAGGGGCACATAATGGCATGTTGATGGTTGGCTGGGAAGGAGATAGGGTTGCCACCTCCAGGTTGGGAAATTCCTGGAGATTTCAGAGGTGGAGCCTGGAGAGGGTGGGGCTTGAGGAACGGTGGAACCTCAAACAGGTACAATGCCATAGACTCCACCCTCCAAACCAGCCATTTCCTCCTGGGGAACCATTGTTGCCAATCTCCAGGTGAGGGGGAGATCACTCAGAATTACAACTGCTCTTCAGATGGCAGAGATCAGTTCCCCTGGAGAAAATGGTGGACTCTGTGGACTCTGTGTCTGGGCACCTGCCCAGAGCCTCTTTCTAGAGCTTGTTGTATTTATGTCTGCAACAGGCCTTATTCCTAGTACTGAAATAAATTTGTATGTAAATTAGCAATGAAGCTTGCTGCACATTTTGGAAGAGGGGAGTTAGATTTTTCAAAAACCTTCCCCGTATGTTTTTTAAAAAATCACGGTTTATGCAACAAGCTTAGCTTTCTAGTTTTGATACAGACATTTCATTCAGCTACAACTTGCTACCAGATACTAGTACGCCCTCCAGCGGGCACCAGCAGGGAGCTCCAGGCCCCGCCCTCCCGCACCTCACCCGGTGGGATGGCGTCCCCCCGCATCCCCCCCAAATGACCCCTCATACAGACATTTAATTCAGCTACAACTTGCTACCAGATACTAGTACAAATAACTGGAAAAAGAGAAGACCACCATATTTGGTATGCTCTGTACCAATATACATTTTCTTTTTAAAAAGCAATCTATTGAAGCTTATACTGCATCTGATAAACAATTCACATTGTAAGAGTTTGGTAAGCAGACAAGCATTTACAACACTCTAATTATATTTAATTGTCACATATTTCATTCGGCCCCGGGAGCACATGGGGCACAAATTTGTGCATCAATTATTCATCCCCACCCCACCCCCAATTATTTAACCATTCACAGAATTCATAGAATTCATTACAAAAACTCAATTATTTACATCAAAACACTCAGTGGAACATGTAATTAAGAATAGAGCCGAGAAAACAGCTCATTCCAACTTGCACCTGAATTTGATCACTTATGTGTCTATCTACAGTATTTATTGCTTGGATCAGATCCCATCTAGATGAAAAAAAAATGGCTCCAGGATTGGCTCCAAAATGGCTCCATGGTTTATTAACTGTACAGAAAGATCACTTTTCATAGGGAATGATTTGCTAATCACATAAATACAGTTGTAGTTTCCTTGACCTCAGTAGATCTAAACAAGTCTGGTCTGTGTGCATGTGAATTCTATAGTCAGTGGATTGCCCCTTAAAGCTTGAATTCCTACACCAGTAACTCCAGAGTTGTTTGGATACCACAACCACAGGCTATAAGAACATATTTGTAATGAAAGCAAGGCCAGATGATACCAATATTTCAGCATTGCTGACAATTAAGGCAGTACATACATAACAAAGGACTCATCAAGGGATAGAAAAACTCATCCATAATAAATTAGTGTAAACATTACAGAGCTGCACAGTCCATGAAACTTTCATACCATTAAAATCTTGTATGTCACCTTCATTCTCTGACAAAATCATAAAGTAATGAGCTACAAAAACGGCACTTCTGCAAACACCTTGATCACCAGAATCTTCTGTAAGAGCTGCTTATCATGCAAAGCCGTATATACTAAGAGGCAGGATACCCCTGAGGCTCTCAGTCTATGAAGTTTCCCTCTGTACTGTGTTTCCTATATATTTTAAAAGAATGTCATTGACACCTACGTTCCAGTTAGCCAGATATTATGCTAGATCACATAACAGAGCTGCATAAACATAAGGATTGGCCAGTACATTCCATGATATAGAATTTTCTGATTTCAGGTCATATTCTAGTTTATATATTATATAAATAATTATATGACGTGTACTCTATGGGTGAAGTCCAGTGGATAAGCAGGAAATAATTTTTTCCCAGGTAATTCAGGCTGCAGTCCTCTATACATTTTATTTGGGAGTAAGGCCCATTGAAATCAGTGCTACTTACTTATAACTAAAGCTGCTTAGGATAATGCAAGTACAAAGCAGAGTTACACCCTTCTAAGTCCACAGAAGTCAATGGGCTTATAAGGGTATAAACTCTGTTTAGAATTGCACCATAACATTGCAAGAAGATTGGCTGAAATCAGGAAGCCCCCACAAGCCCATCATTTTCCACTCAGCCAGGCTTTACAATATACCAGATCATTGCAAAGGATGAAAATTGGCACCTCGGCAAGATAAAAAGTAGATCTGTATCTCTTCAGGCTATCTAGTTAACACGAACACTATCCAATTCCAACTTGGATACCTAGTTTTAAAGTTTGTGAAGATGTTGTCAAAAAATAGTTGGGATGGTACCAAACGAAAAATAAATTTGTAGTACCACAGGTATGATGGGCCTTCTGCTACTTCCCAAATATTGTGGAACTTTACTGGACTTTACCAAGAGCAACCATAACCTGAACTTTGCTCAGTGTCCGTTGAGTCACTGCACTGGCAGAACTACAAATTAATAGATCAAATTTTCGGATTTCTTCAGGGATTTTGGCACGGTCACCAAGTTCTGTACAAGATCCCTGAGAATTTCATGACAACTGAAACATCTAGCTTAAGGGTTCAATTGACAATAAAAGATCAAGCCAGTTTCTTATTGTTTTCTGCATTCTGGACAGTAGCTAAGAACTCCAGGAGGAGCTTTGCTGTTTTCCTGGGCCGTTCCACGACTACAGTGTGTCCACAGTTCTCCAAAATGTGTACTTGACAGTCAGGAATTGATTTTGCTAAAATATCTGCTCCTGAAACATCCAGCACCTAGAGGAAGTTGGGGGGGGGGGAGAGAGAGAAAAGGATATTACTCAAGAGAAAAACATGCCTTATCACAGGATTAAGGTAAATGGGTCATCTTAGACAAACACTGCGCTGACCCGTACATCAGTAGCATTCACCAGGAAATTGTCAGGAATCAGTTGGGCTGCATTTAATAAGGCTGGAACTGCAATAGATTTTAATACTGAGGTTGGAAAAAATATCTGCTCCCGAAACATCCAGCACCTAGAGGAAAATTGGGGGGGGGGGAGAGAGAGAAAAGGATATTGCTCAAGAGAAAAACATGCCTTATCACAGGATTAAGGTAAATGGGTCATCTTAGACAAACACTGTGCGCTGACCCTTACATCAGTAGCATTCACCAGGAAATCGTCAGGAATTAGTTGGGCTGCAAGAAGCATTTAATAAGGCTGGAATTGCAATAGATTTTAATACTGAGGTTGGAATAAAAGAAGAAAGTGGGATGACAGCAAGAAGTTAACTTTTTCTCACACTGGATTCACAAAGCAACATTACTCTCAATAGACCCGAAGACTGATATGGCGCAGGAGAGGCTAAATGGCTGCCATAACATGATGTTTTATGAACCGCCCAACCAATGCTGAAATGGCGAAAGAAGGCAGTCAGTAGATAAATGTTAGCTGAGCAACGTTAGAAGATAACTGAAATAAAAAGGCAAAGACTACAGATGAGAAGAATGCAAAAAAAGTCTTTTAATTAAATCCTAAGACTTAAAGAGTGTTACATATAGATTCTATACTTTTTTACCCTGCAAGAATAACAGTAAAAGAAGAAAGTGGGATTACAGCAAGAAGTTAACTTTTTCTCACACTGGATTCACAAAGCAACATTACTCTCACTAGACCCGAAGACTGATATGCCACAGGAGAGGCTAAATGGCTGCCATAACATGATGTTTTATGAACCGCCCAAACAATGCTGAAATGGCTAAATAAGGCAGTCAGTACATACATAAATGTTAGCTGAGCGACGTTAGAAGATAAATGAGAATAAAAAGGCAAAGACTACAGATGATAAGAATTCAAAAAGTCTATTAATTAAATCCTAAGACTTAAAGAGTGTTACATATAGATTCTACATGAAAATATTGTTGATTTATCCTCCAGTGTACCATATGTGCCTCCTTGTGGTTAGTCTCCTGGCTGCTAAAGCACTATTTGTTGTTGTTGTTCAGTCGCAGATTTATCCTCCAGTGTACCATATGTGCCTCCTTGTGGTTAGTCTCCTGGCTTCTAAAGGGCTATTTGTTGTTGTTGTTCAGTCGCACAGTCGAGTCCGCCTCTTCACGGCCCCATGGACCAGATCACGCCAGGCCTTCCTGTCTTCCGCCGTCCTCTGAAGTTTGCTCAATTTCGTGTTCATTGCATCTATGACACTGTCCAACCATCTCATCCTTTGCCGTCTCCGTCTTCTTTGACCTTCAATCTTTCCCAGCATCAGGGTCTTCTCCAGTGAGTGCTCCCTTCTCATTTGGTGGCCAAAGTATTTGAGCTTCAGTTTCATTATCTGGCCTTCCAGGGAACAGTCAGGGTTGATTTCTTTTAGGATTGACTGATTTGATCTTCTTGCAGTCCAAGGGACTCTCAAGAGTCTTCTCCAGCACCATAGTTCAAAAGAATCTATTCTTCGGCGCTCGGCCTTCCTTATAGTCCAACTCTCGCAGCCATACATGACTACTGGGAATACCATTGCTTTGACCATGCGGACTTTTGTTGGCAGGATGATGTCTCTACTTTTTATCATGCTGTTTAGGTTCGCCATCGCTTTCCTCCCAAGGAGCAGGCGTCTTTTAATTTCATGGCTGCTGTCACAGTCTGCGGTGATCTGGGATCCCAGGAACGTGAAGTCTGTCACTACTTCCATTACTTCCCCTTCTATTTGCCAAGGACTGATGGAGCCGGATGCCATGATCTTAGTTTTTTTTTTTTTTATGTTGAGCTTCAAGCCCACTTTTGCGCTCTCCTCTTTTACCCTGAGCAAGAGGCTCTTTAGGTCCTCTTCACTTTCAGCCATTAGAGTGGTATCATCTGCATATCTGAGGTTGTTGATCTTTTCCCCAGCAATCTTAATTCCCGCTTGTGATTCATCCAGGCCAGCATTTCGCATGATGTACTCTGCATATATATTAAATAAGCAAGGTGACAATATACATCCTTGTCGTACTCCTTTTCCTATGCTAAACCAATCAGTTGTTCCATATCCGGTTCTAACTGTCGCTTCTTGGCCCTTATACAGGTTTCTCAAGAGACATGTGAGGTGGTCTGGTACTCCCATCTCTTTAAGGACCTGCCATAGTTTGTTGTGATCCACACAGTCAAAAGCTTTAGCATAGTCAATGAAGCAGAAGTAGATATTTTTCTGGTACTCTCTTGCTTTCTCCATAATCCAGCGAATGTTGGCAATTTGATCTCTAGTTCCTCTACCTCTTCGAAACCCAGCTTGTACTTCTGGTAGTTCTCTATCCACGTACTGTTGAAGCCTAGCTTGTAGGATCTTGAGCATGACCTTGCTAGCATGTGATATGAGTGCAATTGTGCGATAGTTTGAACATTCCTTGGCATTGCCCTTCTTTGGGATTGGAATGTATACTGACCTTTTCCAATCCTGTGGCCACTGTTGCGTTTTCCAAATTTGCTGGCAAATGGAGTGCACTTCACATTCCAGGATGTCTGGGTCGAGGTCAGTGATTATACCATCATGGTTGTCAAGGACATCGAGGTCTTTCTTGTATAGTTCTTCTGTGTATTCTTGCCATCTTTTCCTAATCTCTTCTGCTTCTGTTAGGTCCCTCAGACTGGTTCTCCCCCAACCCCGCTGCATCTTCCTAGACCCCTCCCCATTCCCCATGTGAGCACATGGAGTAGGAGTACGTGTGATTGTCAGATGTTATTAACCTATACCCTTTTTCCATACATGGAAATGCTGTCTGCACAGGAAATTTCTCATGTTTCAAGCTGCCTTTAAGAGTCGTTGCCCAAAACATCTCAATGTGCAGAACCTAGTAGGAGCTACTGCAGCAATATTTGAGACCAACCAAGAGACTGACTTCAGGCTGAAAATAGGTGTCATACAGAAAAAGGAAAGCCATGGGAGGCCCTTTGTAGCACCTGGACCACCTAATGCACTCCACTTCCCTAGAGTACAGTTTCACGGGGCAGCCCCCTAGGTCTGCAGTAGAACAGATAGAGTCAAGTCTAGTAATACCTTAGAGACCAACCAGATTTTGAGGGTATAAGCTCTCTGACAGACCATCTGATGAAGGGAGCTTTGATTCTCAAAGTTCCTATACCCCCAAAATCTTGTTGGTCTCTAAGGTGCTAACTCTGTCCCTCGTCCAATTCCACTTTGTTTTCAATGCAGTTTTGCCCTCATATTTTTCCTACTCCCTCACATATAATCAGCCCTCCCACTCACATTACTAATTTCATCACATCACCTTTGTTTCCTTCCTGCTGTTGCATTTTTCTGCCTCTCCCCCCCCCCAACTCTGCCAGCAACTCTTGGAACAGAGTCAGTCCATTTAGTTGTCATGACAACACCTTTCTCCCTAACTAAAGCTCTGGTACTAATGGCACCTTGGAACTCTGGGTGAATTAGTATTCACCACAACCCTCTTCTTCCTAGTCTCGCATACAACATCCATTTGCCCTGTTACAGCAATTCTGAACAGGTGTGGAGCTCCAATTATATAAATAACAACAACAACAACAACACATGTACCTCCTCAAATTATATAAATAACAACAACAACAACACATGTACCTCCTCCACCCAAAGAGACAGCCGGACTGTCTTCTGTGGGTTGAATAGTTCTGTACAGATCAGCTCACACAGATGTGTTGTCTCCATTCAAATGAACAGGGCAGGGCCGTTCACCAACAGGAAAGGCCTGTAGCCACTGCATCTCTTGCCACTCTCACTTGTTTTAATAACAGACCCCCCAAAAAACCCCAAAACTCTGGCCAATACAGGTGCAGCCAAAAATGAAAACAGAAGGAAATATTTACCTGTTACTCTTTTTCAAGATCCTAAAAGGAGTCTGCCTAGCTGAAAGCAGGGCTACGTATTTAACCAATCATACACCATTCTTTTCTAAACAGACTGCTGTGTAACAACTTCAAGTAACAGAACTTAGAATTAATTCTAAACAGACATATTTAAAAGCCTCTGAAAGGTATCCACATCTGTTTGTCTAAGTCATTTCATCACACTGTCTAAGCCCAGCAAAAGTGCCTTGGGCAGGTGAAGACCTTTAACTTCCTGCCTGTTATGTAGAAGAAGAAGAGAAGAGATTGGATTTATACCCCGCCCTTCACTACCCAAAGGAGTCGCAGAGCGGCTTACAAACTCCTTTCCCTTCCCCTCCCCACAACAGACACCCTGTGAGGTAGGTGAGGCTGAGAGAGCTCTGACAGAAACTGCTCTTTTTCAAGAACAGCTCTTATCAGAACTACGGCTTGCCCAAGGTCCTCCAGCAGGTGCAAGTGGAGGAGTGGGGGGAATCAAACCCGGTTCTCCCAGATTAGAGTCCGCGCATTTAACCACTATACTGTACAATGTACACTGTACAATGTAGCAAGAAAACTAGTTGTACCTGCTAGATTATAAATTAATATGCATCTGGGCAAGATCCAAAGGAGTCAGCCGTGTTAGTCTGTTGCTACAAAATAGCAAAAAGTCCAGTAGCACCTTTAAGACTAACAAACTTTATTGTAGCATCTGGACAGGGGGACTGGGCTCTGGGCCCAGAAAGGTAGCAATGCATTTGTTCATTTTTAAGGCACTACCTTTCTAGCTCTCCTCATTTGCTATTCTTCTGTACTCACTTATCTTTCATTTGCACCGTGGAGGAAAAAACATGAAAAGCAAATTGGCTGATGTACCTGATCTTGCTTTCCCCAGATGATCTGCACTGGGGCTTTGATCTTGCTCATGTTTTCATAAAGAGCGTTTCTTGACTTTTCATCTGTAATCGCTAAAAATACTTTTCAGAAGAGAGAAAGAAGAGAGAGAAAAATTAGTCTAGCACAAGTGGGATTTGATTGTGACCCAAATCTTTTATACTGAATTCATTTTTGTCAATGAAAGGCGATAACAAGAAACAGAAGAATTTCCAGAGCACACGAAAGAAAAGGTCAGTCGGCACGGCCAGGGGATGTGTGCATGTAAGATCCCTTTAGATGTGGCACTTGACCACCAAACCTGTAGGGCTGCCACCCAACCTATCAGCCTTGTGTTATCTCCTCTTCCCCATGTGCTGCTTAGGTAGATTTACTAATGCTGTAACATTATCATAATGCTTAGCACAGGAAAAGGAAGTGGTTCATCCTCTTCTTCCTCTGTCAGATAGGCAGAGGGCAGGCAGCAGTGGGTGGTGGTGGTGCTGCTGGCTACAGATCTCTCACCTGCCCTGGTAGGCTACAATGGCTAATAGGAGCCAGAGAAACAGCTGAAATCACACAAAGGAGCAGAGGTCCATCAGTGGCTATTAGCCACAAGGTATAGATAGGGACTCTGGGGCAAGTGATGCTCTGTCTTCTTGGTGCTGGGGGGGGGCAACAGTGGGAGGGCTTCTAATGTCCTGGCCCCACTGGTGGACCTCCTGATGGCACTGGTAATTCTGGCCACTGTGTGATACAGAGTGTTGGGCTGGATGGGCCTTTGGCCTGATCCAACATTGGTGTCTCTTATGTTCTTATGTTGACGGGTGAGTGAATGGAGTGAATGGAATGAGTGATGCACACAGAGGCAGCAGCTGCTTGTTTGGCTGGGGGTATGAGCAAGAAGTAATGGTACTCAGGACCAGCAGCCAGGAATCAGTTCCTCTGTCTGCATCACAGTGGTACTGTGCCTCAGAGGGGACCAGTAGGACAGCATCTTCCTGAGGGCCCCAAAACCTGGAGATGGCTTTCTAGTAGCCATGTGCAACCTTCAAGCAATGTGTTTCAGCATATGAGATCCCAAGAGGAAAACAGAGGACAATCATGACTTCCATCTCTCGCTTTGTGATCTGCCCAGAGCACACGGCAGCAGTGTTCCCTCTAAGCTGAGTTAGTGTGAGCTAGTTCGCAGGCTGTTAGCTTCCAGCTCACAGATTTTTGTCTTAGCTCAGGAAAGATGGCTCCGGAGCAGACTAATTTATGCAGTAGCCAAATCGCTCGCTCACAACTTTACTGCCAGTAGCTCACAAAGTAGGATTTTTGCTAACAAGACTCCACAGCTTAGAGGGAGCATTGCACGGCAGGGTCAGAGTGGGTTTTGGAGAACAGAAACTGAGTTATGCATTCATTTTCAAAATGAAGGGAGATGGAAATTTGTTTTTATGACAGAAACGAACGGGAGAAAATCAAAAGAAATCTCATTCATTTTGCTTTTCCACTGCTGTACATTAGTTATGCAAAGCAATGCATCAGGGGTTCTTTGCATTGGATACACTGACTGAAACAGCATGGAGGGGAAGGGAGAAAAGATGTGCAGTGGCTGTAGGCCTTTCTTGTCTGTGAACTACTCTGCTTAATCTACGAGAAAAGAGGCCACATCCTTCAAGCAGAAGAAGCCAGTCTGGGTCTCTCATTGATATCAATGGAAAGATTAACACTGGAATTCACTGCCACAGGAAGTGGTGGCGGCTACAAGCATGGACGGCTTCAAAAGGGAATTAGATAAGCATATGGAGCAGAGGTCCATCAGTGGCTATTAGCCACAAGGTATAGATAGGGACTCTGGGGCAAGTGATGCTCTGTCATCTTGGTGCTTGGGGGGGGTCAACAGTGGGAGGGCTTCTAATGTCCTGGCCCCACTGGTGGACCTCCTGATGGCACTGGTATTTCTGGCCACTGTGGGATACAGAGTGTTGGACTGGATGGGCCTTGGCCTGATCCAACATTAGCATCTCTTATGTTCTTATGTTCTTATGAAAGACAACAGAATGCTTTTTAAACTGCCTGTTAAATGGGCATCTGTTTTCCTGTCTCTCTGAAATTTGGCACGTCTGATGCAAAAACAAATGAACCAAAAATTAAGGAAAGGGCAAACAAATGGCATCTTTAAAATAAAATGAGAGAAGAAAATACAGAAATGAAAACAGAAACAAACGTATTTTTTTCCTATGCACACAGAAATGTTGAAACACCAATTTCACTCTCCAAGAAAGAGCCGTCCAAAAGTGTTCCCATTCATGGCCCAGGAGAGAAACATGAAATGCACTTACATTTACGGTAAAATTCATTATGTGGTATGCGCACGTCAACGAGGCCCTGCAGGATCTAAAAATACATAACTGTGTATTAGAAGAACAGAATATGTATGCTACGTACAGCTTCTAGCATTTTCCTTCTGGGGAGACAGCAAAGGAAATGTCTGCCTAGGTGCACCAGAAAATCCATACTGACAATCAAACACTTGTGTGTTCTGTTTTCTCATATGTAATTAAGGGGTAAACTGCAGCAAAAGCTACTGCAGGACACTGTGGAAATGTGTCTCTTTCATGATCCTGCAGAACAAGAGTTCCCACAGAATTATTCAAATAAAGGCAACTCTCCATCTCCAAAAAGAAAGGGACTATATGCCTGAACGGTAAGAGGAAGGGTATCTTCCATCTAAGAACATGGGAATCCTGTGTCAGAAAGACTGCTTGAAAGACACTGATTATATATTCACCCATTCTGGAAATAATTCCAGCCATTTTGTTTAGCCGGAACGTCAGATTTGCACACAGAGTGAACAGTCTGAGCATTCCCAATAGAGCAAATAACATTTCAGTTGCATTCATTTCTCCCTTTCTTTTTTAAAAAATAACTCATGCATATGGCACAGTGTGCTCTCTGCTCTCTGTATGAACACCCACACAGCTGCTAAAGAGCTTTCAGGACAGAGCTTGGGGAGAAAATTAACACCAAAAAGGAAAGCAAGAAAGACTGTTAAGACTCACATAAATCCTGTGGAGCACTGGCCCCTCACACAGTTCCTTAAGGTGCTCTGACCCCCCCCCCCAGAAGCAGCATTTGGGGGAACATTTCAGGTTGCCACGGAAAGGGGGAGGCAAGATAGTCCCATTCTGGTGATGGAAATCCTTTCTGTCAGCAGAAATTACTCTTGGATTCAACCCATAATCATTCAAGCACTTTGGTGAGGTTTTGGTCAGATTTTCTTTTAAAAATTCTCTAGACTTTCATGGATTTTGAGATATCATGTTGGAAAGGTTCAGAAACTACAAGGTCTAGAAAAGTATCACAATTTGAAGTTTTACAATCTGTATACTTGGTATTAGCGGTTTCATTTTTTTTTAAGGGCAGTTTTTGCAGTGTGAAGGTACTCAAGTCATCTACGCTCTTTGAAATGCTCATTCAGAATTCCTGTCACATTGGGTAGCTTGAGGATTGTTCCTCCTGCCAAGGGAGAAGTCACAGAGGCACTGAATTATAATGGCAGGACTTGCATGCTACCACAAAACAAGTCCAAGGCCAAAACTGTTATGGGACAACATCTGCCACACACACATAAGTGGTATTTATATTAGGTTAATAAACACTCACTAAAATAGCAGCAGGCCTCTGGCACAGAAGTCACTTTCTGCAGTAGCACTGGTGCTAAACAGGATTGCCAAAGAAAGACTGCCCTGCAATTCATGCGTCTTACCTGTTGAGGGACTTTGAAGCGGACATAAGAGCAGAGCTTTAACATGTCTGCCATTTCCTCAGGGGTGGATGGAATTAATGGAATCCTGTCCATGGCCCTAGACTCCTCCATCTCCTGCAGCTGCTTCACAAATTTGCTAGCTTTGGAAGGCTGTAATCCTGAGAAACAGATGACAGGCACGCCCGCATGTTACAGTCCAAAAGGAACACAGAAGCAAGCTCACTAGCCTTAACAAGGGCAGCGGAGCCATAATGAGAAGAAGAAGAGATTGGATTTATACCCCGCCCTTCACAACCTAAAGGCGTCTCAGAGCGGTACACAATCGCTCTTTACCAACAGACACCCTGTCAGGTAGGTGGGGCTAAGAGCGCTCTCTCAGGAACTGCCCTTGAGAGAACAGCACTGAAAGAACTTATGACTGACCCAAGGTCACACCAGCAGCTGCATGTAGAGAAGTGAGGAATCAAACCCAGTTCTCTTAACTACTACACCAAACTGGGTTTACCGGTAATTCCTGATTATATCTGGGAATTCTTTGGGAATTTTTGTTCAGTCTTCCTGATAAAACCTGGATACATTTGGGAAGTCAAAATGGATATTTTCAGTTCAGACAGACCCAAACGTATCTATTTAGTTATTAGATTTATACTCCGCCCTCCCCATTCAGGCAGGTCTACCCCTAATCAGAAGCTGATCCAGCATTTGACATCCAGGATGAAAGCTCTTTACACTAAATCCATCAAAACTGCAATCTATGCCACTGTTTATGGTATGTATTATTTGTTTATTGCACATATCACGCTGCTCTTAATGCACTGTGTTCTAATTCCATAATTCCACTATCAGTACTGTTTGGCATATCATGTGTGATACTTTTCCCATAATCCTAGTCCCATTGTTCTTTTTTCAGACATCTCATTCTATCATGCTATTTGACTGCATTGTCCTATACCATGTGACCCACCTTGACCCTCAGTGAGAAAGGAGGACTATAAACAAGCAAACAAACAGTATATTCAATTACCCGCTTTCCCTCCTCTGCAATGTTTGCAACAACCTATTGGTGTCCTGTCCTGATGTATCAATATGTTGCATTCTTCCCACCCTCCACCCCACATAACGGCTGTCTTTAGTAGTAGACTAGAGTACATGCTCAAGAGACTGGCAGGGGGGCATTTTTCATCAATATAAGGCAGATGGCGTCATGGAGGGGGGTATGGCTACAATGCTCTCTCTAAGCTGTGGGGTCTGGTGAGCAAAAAATTCTACTCTGTGAGCTGCTGGCATTAAAGTTGTGAGCAAGCGATTTGGCTGCTGCATAAATTAGTTTGCTCTGGAGCCATCCTTCCTGAGCTAAGACAAAAATGTGTGAGCCGGAGGCTAAAAAACTGTGAGCTGTCTCACACTAACTCAGCTTAGAGGGAGCACTGAATGGCTAAAATGGCCTCCCCCCGGCCTGTTCTGGCAGCACCAGAGCCCATGTTGCTTTCAGCATCACCCTTTCAAGGTTCATAGTTGCTGGGGGAAGCAGGAAAAAGCTGGTTCCGCCAGTCTCTTATGCTGGCACGGCACAGAATTCAACCCAGTGCCTCAATACTAGAATGCAGGCGGGCTGTCCTAAGAATTATAGCAAGGGAGGAGGAAGTTAAATATGTGGTTCACCACACATTTCTCACTTAGGCACCTGTCTGAACCAAGGCCAAAGGGGACTGGCAACAGTTCAAGAGCTATCTGAATCCTGTTTCCTCCCAGTGTCTACACAAACATGGTACATAACTCCAGCATTCAGTTCCTTCGGACCTGGCTCTATATTCCACTACTTCCTTGTGTTCACTCACCTGCAGGGCACACGAGACTTAAACTGCAGATGTCTGCTGGATACTGAGCAGCGTAAACGCCTGCAACATTTCCGCCCATTGAAGTGCCTACTAGATGAAAGGGTTTTCTGTTCAGATTGATACATTCGACAAACTGGGGGGAGAAAAAACAAAAGGGCAACAATGCGTTGGTACATCACAGGCAGCAATTTTATAGGACTGGGAGCAATCAGAGTAATGTGTTTAAAAATAAATAAGAAAAGCAAATAATGACTCTGGAGATTCAGTGCCACAGTATACGCTAGAGCGGGTTAGCTTACTGCCAGAGCCCTGAGCTGCTCCCCTTAGGAATAAAGCTAGAGTGGGTGATCTTACTGCCAGAGCCCTGAGCTGCTCCCCTTTACTATTCTCAAGAAAGAATTAGTTATTCATGAAAGATTTTTGACCCAGCTATGCCAGGGAGAGCAAGAAAGCCCCACGAACAGTGCAGATTTTGCAAGTTTCACACAAAAAAGTGCCCTTTCTTGATCAAGAAAAGATTAGGGGTTGTGTAATTTCTGATGGGGAAGGCCAATGTGGAATAGGCTTCAACCCGTATCAGCTATATTGGCAGCTTTAGGGTGATTTCATAAAAATACAGAGTTCTTGATAAAACCGATTGTTCTTCCCTCAGCACCTTATAATCCAAAATATTTGGTTGGGGTTTTTTTTGACTAATTATTCATTTAGGTAACTCCTCTGAGTATTCTGTGTTTTAGAACTACAGATGATCTTGAAACTCAAGATGTGGGGTACCCCCCCCCCCATGACATCTTAGACCATGTGATGAGACTGCACGAGAGACCCCATGTTTGATATTAAAGCTAAGAAAAGAGTTCACAGAGCAAAGATCCCTTGACTTGGGAGTTTGGAGGTGCACTTCACGTGTACCCCCCCCATCATTACAAGTAACAATTCCCTTATGTCAAGTGTAAAGAACTTGTTAATGAAAACCATGGAGGGAGGGGGGCAAAATGAAGATGCGTATCATATAGAACAAGAGGAATGCAAGAATACTTCTGTGTAACTGACTGAAAATGTGTAATATAGTGTGCAAGCTCTTGACCAGAGTGAAGGAGGTGTGTATGTGGGGGGCTGGTAGTCTATGCACGGTCCTGATTCCCTATAACTCAGATCTGCAACCTTCAATGATGTTCAGTCATCTCACCCTCTGAGAAAACAAACACATCCTATAAACAGACATGGGAAGGATAACAAAAAGGAACCCTCTTGTGTGCTAGTTGTTAGGGAGACTGTCTCAGGGACACTAGCTCCAAACTGTGTTTCTGTACATATAGTCTGCTTATTTATGGAAATGCCCAGAGCTGAAGAAGCAGCAGTCTGTCAAGCAAATCACACAGTAGAAGCAGAGCCACTGGAAGAACAGAGATATATGTTTGTACGGTCTCACTGTAAAAACTGAAATGCCTTTAGTGCTACTCTTGCCATTCAATGTATTAGAAAAGCAGGAGAAAGGAAGACTCAGAGATTACATCCCCACGGTAAACAAGACTTCCTAGTCACCAAAGCTTGAGCAGTCCATTCATTCAAACAACCAGCTACAACTTTGTTGTTTTTTTTGGGGGGGTTGCTTTTATTCAAAGATCTATTAGGATTTGCAGGGGGCAGGACTTGAAGAGTTAAGAAGATAAAGGATTTGGGAGGAAGGGGCAGAGAGATGGGCAAGGGAGTCTTTGAGACTGTGACTGGCTGGCCATGGCTGCTGGTGAACACCGTAAATGAGAAGCTGACAGAATGACACCCTTCTAAGCTCATTGACTTCAGTGGGCACAGAAGGGTGTAAATTTGCTTCGGGTGGCACTGTGAGAGATGTCAGTTCAAGCACAGGTTTCTAAGTCTCCCCTATTCTTCATTGTAACATCCTTTCACACACTTTCAATCCAGTTTGCAACTGGAGTTTACTGCATGAAAGGGCAAAGTCCACTTGCAAACAATCACCAAAATGCATTAAAAGTGGATTGTTCAGCATGTGTGAAAGTGCTTGTAATCGCCTTAAAACAAAACAAGAACCCTCAAGTGATTCATGCATACACAAAGGTAGAACAGGAAGAATAAGTAAACGGGGGGGGGGATTACTTGAAATGTTACCTGGTGTATTCTTTTCACTTGCCCATAAATTGAGTAGTCATCTAGAGATGACCGGGTAGTGCCCTCATGGCCAGGCATATCAACGCAAATCAAGTGCAGGTGCTTCGGAAGGAACTGCAGAAAACAAGCTCCAAGTGGTTAGGCTGAAGGAGAGACTTTGCTAAAGCAAAAGCAAATCTGAACAGGTTTCTAGACACTGTTATTTTTTAACCTTGTACTGGCAATGCCTGGACTATTTTAACGCTTATCAGCACAACCTATTCCTTTCAAGGCAAAGCATAAAGGAGACCTTTTGTGTGTGAGAGAGAAGAATTATACACACATACCATCAACCTAAAGTGTTCTCAGCTTGTTTTTAGACATATTAGGCATATTCTTTGTGAACAGGCAAGCAAGCAAATAAACACAATCCCCTTTCTAGTCTCTCATAATCAGGGCTATTTTTTAATGGAGTTCTGGCTGGCTCCCAAGTTGGCTACGCCCAGCAGGAACTAATTAGCATAATAGGCCACACCCAACAGCAGAAACTCATTAGGATTGGCTACATTAGGGGTGTGTGGCCTAACATGCAAAGGAGTTCCTCCTACAAAAAAAGCCCTGGTTTTGACAACAAACAAGGTAAACAGAATAACAAGCAAAAGGTGGGTGTGGCTGGATAACCACACTTCTGGTAACATGTGGGCGTGGCCTAATGTGCTAATGAGCTGTGCTGTCAGGGATGTGGCCCAATATGCTAATGAGTTCCTGCTGTTGGGTGTGGCCTATTATGCTAATGAGTTCCTGCTGGGCTTTTTCTACAAAAAGAGCCCTGCTTCATAATAATTCATCTCAAGGCTTAGAAAAGAGCAGCCCCATCAAGAGCAGCTCTACCACCCACAGGTGTTTTCACAAGCAGGTACAGAAGTGTGATAGCCCAAAGTTTCCAGAGCTGTCCAGGACAACTCTGTGGTATTCAGTCTGCACAGCTGTCTTTCCACATTCCATGTTAGATTACTACAGAAGTGGGAACTACATCATCATATGACTTTTCCTGCGCTCTCAGCTGGGCACTACACCACCCACTGGGCCATCTGGACTTGTCCCCGATCCTGATTTCATGGTTGATAGCATAGTTCCACTGCTCTCTATAACTAGCTTCCAGGATACGTTGATAACATATGGATGTCTGCATCATATGAATGCTTCCTGGACTAACATCAGAAGAACCAATGGAAAATAAATCACAAAAACCGATCTACCTACAAATATCCATATATTGCCTATGCAAGATGGATGCCAACCAGAGTGGCAAATGCACAGGAACGATTACATATGAATCAGCCCTTAGGCACAACCGCAAAGATTTGGTTTTTCCTGAGGTGGTATTTTTCTTTCGCTTCCAGAGAAACAGAAACATACCTTGACTATAGAGAGCCACATATCTTTGTGTGCCGAGAATCCATGTAACATGAGTATGGTGGGTCTGTGCCCAGGTCTCCCTCGGTAGGAATAGCAAAACTGGTAGTCATCACAGTTAGCATATCTAACTTGCATCCCCAGTGCTCGGCGCCAATACCTGGTAAAGGAGGACTGCAATGTAGTGAATATAGCACAAGCTCAGAAATAGTTCTAATCCTGGTTTGTTTTGACGTCAATTCAAGACACTTGCCTTCCCTTTCAATAGTCTACCTGTGTGCCCCATCTCTCAAATCCCCCCTTACAGAACAAACCACACTGATAAGGGCAGAAAAATGCTGGGATCTGTATAATCAGCTGGCTGGTTATTGTGAACCAATAAAAGAGAGAGGGAGAGAAAATTAAAATGAAAAGGTCTTTATTGGGCAATTGTAATCTATACACCACAGTCTGGAGTCCTAAATAATCAGTGAAATTTCCAGATATTCTATGGATACAATATATATTAAATGCTCACCAAATTATGTATATACTGACTAAGAATCATACTCTTACTAACTTGAATGGGAGATTAAGGCCATGATCTATCTTTGAAACTGTTCTTTGATCTGACTTGTTTTGGCTGAACAGTTCTTTTACCTTTATGGGATAATAACTCCACCATTATTAATTTGAATTTTTTTTAAAAAAGACTCAAACTCTCAATTATGGCCTGCTGTGTTCAATTTCTACTGCTACAAGATCTTTTTTAAAAAATCCTCCTTCTATTGTTATTTGTTATACCATTAATATAGTAACAAGCTACAATTAGCTAGGAAAAGCATTGGTGTTATTATTCAGTATTTCCATATATATGCAAAGAGTTACAAAATCCTTATATCCCACTGGTAGATGGATCAACCATTGCTCCAGCTTCCCTGATGAGAAGTTTGAAGGCTGTAGCCCAAAGCCACCAGGAAAAAATAAAATAAAAAGAATACCTTAGGGGAGATTTCAGCTCAATTTTCACAAAGCCCAGTCAAACATTATCTACCAAACTGCAATGGTCTCTGTGACATGAAACTGTTTTAAGGGCTTCTCATGGAACCCCCACTGAATGATGTCAGAATTAAAACAGTGTAGGATTCTGATGCATGGTTGATATGTGACCTCAATTGACCCACAAATGCATATATCCAGATTTGAGAGCTTAAACTATACACTGAATCTTGAAATATCTTGCCATGTCCAAAGTGGAATTTTGCCCCAAATTTGCTTTTTGGTGAAGGTGTTTCGTACTGGTAATTTCAACAATGCATATATATGGATCAACGGTACAAAGAACAAGGTAAACTGTTTAAAGCAGAAATGATCCTTCAATCTGCACAGTGCATCCTAAAAGCAATATAACGGCATGAAGCAGATAGTAGGGTTGCCAAATCGGGCCGGGGGGCGGGGAACCCCCCGCTTCCGCGGCCCGATTTCCGCCGCAGGGGAATTCCGGCCCGGGGGGAACCCCGCCCCCCAAGCTGCGTCACCGCCACGTTGCCAACGTTGGGGGCGTGGCTGAGCTCGTCGGAGGGGAAAACCATATGGTTTTCCCCTCCGACGAGCTCAGCCACGCCCCCAACGTTGGCAACGTGGCGGTGACGCAGCTTGGGGGGCGGGGTTCCCCCCGGGCCGGAATTCCCCTGCGGCGGAAATCGGGCCGCGGAAGCGGGGGGTTCCCCGCCCCCCGGCCCGATTTGGCAACCCTACTATGCCGGCGCGCGCGCGCGCGCACATCCGGACGACTCCCGGACCGCAGCGACGCTCCCCCGCCGCGGGGGGAAGAAGATTTGGCAACCCTAGCAGATAGAATTATCATACTTGCACAAGCCTCAAAAAGTTCCAAGAAGTTTATAAACAAAAAATGCATGAACGTATCATTTAAAAGCCTGTTTTGCAAACCTACAACAGACAATATTTCAATGAGCTAGAGCAGGTGTCCCCAATGTGCTGCCTGTGGGTGCTCCCCCCCCCCAACACCTTTCTTGGCACCTACCAAGTGTTTTTAGAAGGTGGGTGGGGCCAGATGGGGCTCTTGCCCATCAGGACTTCTGACTGGCCACTGAAGATCCAATTGGCTATGTGCAGATTAAAATAATGTTGTTTCAGTCACAGCTGCCACCACAATGTTCTCACTCCTTTTTCCAGTTTATTTCCTAAATTACCCTTCTTCTTCCCTGCACTTGGGCCTCTTCTGTGTGTTTGGCTCTGCTTCCTGTGGCAGCCATTTTGGGGTTACACCCAGCACCCTGTGTCAGAATTCCAAAACTGCCCACCAGCTCAACAAAGTCGAAGTCCCCAGCCCTGACCTGGATAGCCCAGGCAAGCCCAATCTCGTCAGATCTCAGAAGCTAAACAGGGTTGACCCTGGCAAGTATTTGGAAGGGCGGCCTCCAAGGAATACCTTGGAGGTGGAATGAACTCCTGCTAGAGATCAAGGCCCTGCGGGACCTTTTACAGTTCTGCAGGGCCTATAAGACAGAGCTCTTCCGCCAGGCTTTTGGGTGAGGCAGCGGACGTCAAATATCATCTGGCCCTTCCTGTTACCACCCTGTTACCTTTCTGTTACCATCTGTACCATGGTCTTCAATTCTAACTGTCTTGGTTTACCCAAGGTAGGGTATTTATAATCTGGAATCTCTTATGGGATTTAGACCTTTCTGCTTCTAATTGTTTAACACCAGGGCACCATTGTAATAGTTGTGATATAGTTTGATTTAAGGGTTAAGTTTATAGTTTTAATCTTGATTTTATTGTTTTATACTGATGTTGTAACCTGCCCTGAGTCCACTCGTGGGAAGGGCTGGATAGAAATTGAATTGAATAAATAAATAAAAATAAACACCAGGGTTGTGATGCAGAGGAAGGTGATGGCAAGCCACCCCTGAACATCCCTTTGCCTTCAAGCTCCACTAGGGGTCGCCAGAAGTCAGTCTGACTTGATGGCAAAAAAAAAAAAAGATTGAGGACCCCTGAGCTAGAGTTTCACACTTTGAATTGTCTGAATGGAAGGGGGGGGAGTACCAGCAAAAAGATATGGAGCAATTTTTTAAAATTAATAATTTATTGAATTTTTCACAAAGTATAATCAAGTAACATTATAATTTGACATTAAATACAGAACATCGAACATAAACAGTATGCTAACTTATCATGTAAAGGTGTAAAACATGTACAAAGATTCAACATCTGCGAACTATGTGCAATAGAAATCAGAGTAACCAAACTTCAATCTTGTGAGTATGTAATAACTTGGTGTTTCAGAGTTCCGTGTATCTTAGAAAGACATCCTAGCCGAAACTTGTGGGTAGCCAGGCTAATCTTTGTTATACTCCTAATGTGTAGATGAAACCTACAGAGAAGCTCAGTATATACAACCATTCATGATACTGAGAAAGTCCAGAATGGGACTTTAGTCTTTAGTGAGAAAGTCCAGAATGGGATTCCACTTCTCCATGAATTTAGTGGAAATCGGCCAAAGAGCAGCGTTGTTCATTTTGCAGGTGACACACTCCATCAAGAATTGATCCCATAACTTCTTGTATCAAATCAGTGTTTCGGGCGGCTTTGTGTCCTTCCAACATGTAGCAGTGGAGGTCCTGGCAGCGTAGACCATCACATTCAAGGTATTTTTGTGCACATGATTTTCTATATTTGGTGGCCAGTAGTCTAGAAAAAGCCCTTCCGGGCATAGTGGCATGTCTATGTTGATAATGTGTTTAACTAACCTCTGTACCTCTTTCCAAAAGCTCTGGATCTTCTCACACTGCCACCAGCAGTGTGCGAAGGTGCCAATCTGTTGACATTCCTTCCAGCATAATGGTGAGTGCCTGGAGCTCATGTGAGAGATCCTTTGAGGTGAGAGATACCACCTCGCTAATATTTTGAACTGCTGCAGCTCTAGGGGTATTGAGCGGGGGAATCTCCTATGTGGGTTCCAAATCATGGACCAAACTTCATCATCCAGGGTAGCTGTGCAGTCTTTTTGCCATTATAATTGTTACGACATCGGTTTTGGATTTCTGTCTTTTAGTAAGAGCTGGTAGGTGGCCGAGATTAAGCCTGTATTATGTGAGTCGTATAATTTCAATATCATTTCTAATTCTGTGTGTGGTTGAGACAGTATGGATGTAAGTTTGATTTGACTTGTAGCATGTTGCAATTTCAGATATAGAAACCATGGTATTGTTTTCCCTAAAGCTTTCTCAATTTCGTTTTTCTGAAACAGACCCTTTTTAGATGCAATGTCATAGAAGCGTGAAAGCTCTGCTGCTTTCCACGTTTTGAGAAGGGTGGGATCCCACATCTCCGCAAACCATATTTGATGTGTAAAAGTGGAGTACCTTGACACCTCAGGTAAGTAAAATTTTCTAATTGTTTTCCATAAGTTCAACATAGGCATCAGGAACTCATTGATTTAGTAGATGCAGGATTAATTTTCTTATCCCAAAGCATGTGGCCTATCGAGTGTGGATGGATAAGATCAGAGCATAATTTGACCCAATCAAGCTGAGATGTTGAGCGTTGTGTTTTAATGATATTTGCCAGGAGAGTTGCTTTATGGTATGTTGTTAAGTCAGGAAATATATGGAGCAATTATTGAGCCTGCCTGTTCTCCCTAATTTCACTTGAATGTGAAAGAGCATCTCATCTGTTATGAGCCAGGACACATGGGGTGCGTTCAGACGTGGCATTTGTAACGGAATAGGTGACGATTCCAACCGGTGTACTTACCGGCGTTCACATGGCGAACATCTGCCTCCCGTCCCTAACCGTTACAAAGCCGTTTACACCGTTGTACTCTGCCACTAGGTCCCAAGTGGTGGTAAACAGAGTGCAACGGTGGCTTCCGATACAAACCGGTGTCTGATCGCTCTCCACCGATGCCTAGCCACTTCCGTTGGAAGCCTGAGGCTTCCGGCTCTCCCCCTCTATGTTGTTTTTAATAATAAGCGATATGCGCTCGGGCGAAGCTTCGTCCCGAGCGTTTGTTAAGGGAAAAAAAATGCCTTACTTTAACGTCCCGGAGGAGTCCGGGACTACAGGGAGGCCAGGTTGGGCTTTAAACTTTAAAGGTAAGTGCTTACCTTTAAAGTTTAAATGTAAGGGGGGGGTTGAGCATGCGCAAAAATCGCCATTCTCTGAATGGCTGCCTGTGCGCATGCTCAAACAGTCCTTAAAAAAAAAACACAAACGCCGACGCCCACAGCGTGTGAGCGGGCGTCCAACGGAGGGCTCCCCAAAATGGAGGGTGAGTATGAACGCGTTTCTGCCGGCATAAACTGCACCGGTTCCAACCGGTCTGAACGCACCCATGCTGTGCCTCCTTCCATCTCAGATACGGTGGAAGTGGACTTGCATGCTCTTTCGTGGAAACCTGCAGCACAAAAGCTGTTCAAATTAAAACCCCGCTCACCCTCTGCAAAAGTGAAGGGATCCGTGTCTTCCAGTCTACATATCAGTGTTGTAATCCATCCTGCTAACCCAGTTTTAATGCCAGGAGGTGGCCCTCGTTATTTTACACAGTGTCAAGATCCTTAAATGGGCTGAGAGGATGACCTTGACACTTGCCTGTCATATTTCCATAAAATAAAATGAAGAGGAAACACTTAGTTGGGCCACTTCTGCTGTGGAAAAAAAGGTGGGATCAAGAACATGCCCTCATCACAGATGACAGCAAGGTACATGCTGGATGGAGGAGTACAAAGGAAAGGCAAGACTTCAGCGATCCATCCAACATCTTCCCGACAGTTTATTTCTGGAGACGAGTGTGGATGCCCAGAGCTACATGGTACCTGGTGGTTACTACTACCTGTAGCACCTCCCACACACAGTTATATCACATGTTTGCAGACATCCTGTCCTTTTCTATCCACTCTCTACAGAAGGACGGAAACAAGACAAGGCCTGGAATCTTTATCATATTATCTCTCTTAACCCAGAGGGAGATTCCATCAGAAAGATACTGCATAGTTATCAACGGGGTCCTTTCCCCCCCTCATTTCATATGACATTCATATTGACAGAAAACGCAGTTCCAGAAAGCTGTAGTTATGTCCCTTAGACTTAGCTGGCGGGCCTAAGCCACTTCAGAGCCACTCAGCCTTTCCAAAGGAAGGTGACAAAGCTGCAGCAAGCTGCGAGAGCAGCACGAAGGGTGACTGTCGTGGGAACGCAGCCCCATTAATGCTCCTTACAGTAAAACGCAGCCACCAGGGACTCCTTACGCAGACCAGATTCCCCTAAACTGGTATAAGAGAGATTGCCAGATTACTACACAGGGGATGCCGCTATTGTCATTCATAATATGGTGTCAGAGATGTAGAACCAATTCCTATCCTCCTGCCCAGTGTCTTTTTTTAATTTTTCCTAGTTCATAATGGAAACATGATTCCTCCAGCAGTCTCCTCCTCTCTCTGTCTCTTTTTACTTCTCAAATCCTTTGTTTCAGGTCTCCTCTTGTCAGATCTACAGGGGCCTATATTCCAATCCTATTGGGACAATTACTCCTGCAAATATGTTTAAAATAGCTTTTCTGTCTGATGAATCTCTCTGGCAAGCAATTTGCCCCCTGTCTGAGAAACAAGCCAATGGCATCTGTACTCATGAAATGCTGATATCCCTAGTCAGACAAAGTAACCAGGGTAATACAGCATTGCCTAGCAACCAGTAACAAAGACAAGGCTCGATAATAAGATAGCATGATATTTCCTTAGCAGCATTTATATTAATGGAACAGCAACAGCAGGGCCTTTTACAGGAGAGAGCCACTGAGGTTTTAATCCTTTCCTTTATTATTAAGCTCATATGAACAAAGCTCTTAAGCATAAAACCAATACATCACAGCAGAGCAAACCAGACAAAGCCAGCATAACATAATAGAATACAACAGACAAAAAGGTAAAATATCAAAACAATAAAATACATATAAAAAGTCTAAAAAATATTAAATTTATTAAATTTATTAAATTTATAACATTTATAAATACAAGTGGGTAAGATGTAACAGTGGACCTATACAAATACTCAGCAAGATAATACTGATTTTAGCGTTTTTAAGGAGATCACTATTGCAACAGATCAAGTGTTTTGCAAGAGATTGGGTTTTTTCTGGGTCAAGATCTGCTAACAATAGAGGTACCACCCAAAACTCAACTGGAAGCTGCTATCTGGACAAAATACAAGTAATCCAAAGAGCCCTGGGAACAGTTAATCGATCACAAAAGATGGTCTACCATCTCTAATGCACCAGATACACAACCACAAAAATACTCTGAAAATGGAATTTGAACCTCTCAGTTCTGCAGTCAGCAGGACGTTCAGTCTGGCAAGCATAAAAGCACACCTATGGCTAGGGATTGTAAGAAGTTTCAAATATGAGGGGAGGGTCAGAGAGGGAGGAATCCCTACTGCAGAAATGGAACATATACACCTTGCCCAGGATCGTGTATTGACATGATCAAGGTCAATCGCCCTCATCCTGATCATCCTCAATGCTTCCTGATAATCCATATTCCTGAGCATACTGAGGGAAAGGCCAAGGAGCTCAAACCTATTAACTACGTACCTCTCCAAACCAAT